TGGGGACCCTCCACACACTCCTCCACATGGCGTGCAGCTCCTGCTGCCGGGTGCAGCAGCAGGCAGGGGTGCAGGTGCTGGAGCCCAGCAGTGTGCAACTCCAGCCAGCACTGCAAGTGGGGGCAAGTGCAGTTTGCCTGGCCCACCTCTATCGTGAGGGCTCCACGCAGCATGCCCGCAGCTCCCACATTTGGGCGGCATTGGGAGAAGCCCTGTGCTGGAGCCAGCTGCCTTCCCTGCCCCCTGCCGTGCAGGTCCTGGGACTCTGTGGGGAAGCAGGGGCCGGGGCTCCCCTCCACTTCCAGTGGAGTCCTGGGACCTGTGCAGCAGGGGGCAGGGAAGACAGCCAGCTCCAGCATGGGGCTTCTCCAGGTGCCACGTGAATGCAGGAGCTGTAGGCATGCCACATGAAGCCCCAGTGATAGAGGCGGGCCAGGCAAGCTGTGCTCCTCGACCCCACATACAGCACTGGCGGAAGTTACAGATCACTGGGTACCAGCGCCTGGGTGGAGCCCCAAACACCCCTGCCTACTGCTGCTGCCAGCAGAGGGGGCTGTGTAATATGTGGGGGTGTGTGTGGGGGGTCCCCACACTGCCCTACAGTCCCTCACACCCACACCCTGCCCAGCTATGCTCCATGCTCCCACTGCCTCCCTGGGTGCAGGTTCTGCACTGCCACTGGCCCCAGCCCCATGCTTTGTGCTTCTGCCCAGCTGCAGCTCCCCCCGCCACTTCCCTACCCGCTACTCCAAGGAAGCCAAGCAGGTCCCCCAGGGGCAGCAGCAGCCCTGCCTGGAAGCTGCTGCTGGCTGGGCTGGGTCCTTCTGCCCATGAGGGTGGGAGCGTGGCGCAACAGGATATATTGGGAGGGGGGTGAATATATGGGCACCTTGCTCCCACCCTTGTGGGCAGAAGGGCTGGGCAGGGTATAATTTGTTGGTGGGTATTTTGACTGCCCCTGGGCTAAAACATCAGGAATGCAGCTTGCATTAGTGATTCTCAACCTTTTTAGACTCAAGGTACCCCTTGGAAAATGGCAACTCTTAGCTGTCACTTCTTTTTTTTTTGACTATGGAAAAAAATAATACAGCATTTCTTCTTTTGCAAATAACTCATAGAGCCCTTAACAGCTTAGAAAATTTTTGACACTATGGATTCCTATTTGAAATCTCTGCATTTATCTCTGTGAATCATACGCAAGTATTTGCATACCTAATAGTGCTAATATTATGTGGCACTCCTAGAAGGATCTCACAGCAACCTGCATCCTGGTTGAGATTAGGCCAAATCTACTATATGCACAAAACAGTTAGAAGTGTCACTTACTAGAAGGATGACCAAACCCATAGAAGTATTAATAAAACCTTAATCACCTAAACTCCCCTCAATAGTCTATACAAGTGATTCACCAAATCAGTCAGGAGCTTACAATTAGACACAACTATTATAGTCAGAATGAGACTGGAAGGGTAAGTTGTAAAATGGTCACATGCCTACAGCTGAAACCATCTCAATCATTTCCATGTCTTAAAAATCAGAAGTACCCAACCTTTTCACCTTGCAGGCCAGATGGGTGGTGCATATCCAGCTTCAGGGTGGATCCAGCTAATGGGCCTGATCCATTGTGCAGAGTGGGCACTGTCAGGTCCACATAGCTACAGGTTGGGCCCCACTGGCTGTGCAAGGCTTGGAAATTTGGCAGCAAGAGAGGTGTGGAAGTATTAGCCGTTACTGCTCCACTGCTGCCAAATTTCCTAACTCATGGGGAACACCATGGGCAAGATACCATGACTCTGTGGGCCAAATTTGGCCTGCAGGCCAGGGGTTGAGCACCCCTGCTATAAATGATTCTCTGTTCTCTTTGGGCAGTTTCTCTTTCTTTGTTTTTTTTCAATAAATTCCTCACTGTATCTTGGGAGAGAGTTATGTTCTCTGTTTTGCCAAAGTCAGAAAATCCAAACAGATCTGGCACTTTTGCAGAATAGGCACTGGAGTCACAAGATAGCACAATCTAAATCACAAAACACTATTAAATTAAAATTTAAAAATCCATTTTGCTTCTTTAAAACGAAATCATTATATATGTATTTTAATCGCTTTTGAAGTACATCAATTGGTGTTAATTGATGAGATTAAATGACATCAGTGCAAATTACTCTTAAAAAAGGAAGAGAACCTGGAAGAGTTGCATTACACCAGCTTGAAAGTTGTGCATTGTAAAGATTGTAAAGATAGGTAGGAACCTTCAATTTTCTTCCTCCATATAATGACACAAACTTTGCCAGTCTATCTACTATCAGAAGACATAAGTAACTCTGTAAGACTGCAACCAGCAACTAACTGTATGAAATTCATCAAAAAATGAAAACTCTGAAATGCAAAATATTTCAGAGGTACAGTTCCAATTTTTACATGATTTGACTCTAAATAAGAAAACAGTATCAGCATTGTGTGGTCAGGAATCTTTCTGCACACTCCATAAAGTACTGAATCTTTCTGAAATAAAGCAGAAAAGAAAGACTTGCCAATTCCTCCTCCTGAACTGAGGTGTCGGCCTTCACTAGATACTAACTGAAACTGCTACATGCACCCCTGCTAGGGGGCAAAGGGGACCCATGCCTCCTAGATCTGTGCGAAGGGTGGGGCAGGCTACCCCAAGCTCTGCGCTGCCCACATTCTCTGCACACAACTCCATACCACTGCCCCCGCTGCAGCCACACAGGCAGGGGATGCGTCACAAGGGCAGCAGGGAGCTTTCCTGTGTAGCCCTGATGTTCTTTGCAGCGCTGGGTCACACACGCTGGGCTGTGGAGGCCCTGGGGAAGGACAGCAGGGTGGAAGCCTGAGCCTGAAGCAGGCAGCACACAGCCCCTGCCTCGCACAGATCTGGGTGGCACAGGTCTCCCTGCCCCCCAGGAGTGTGCACCATGGCAGGGTGGCAGGTAGCAGTCCCACCCCCACAGCAGGTGGGGAGGGGGTGGGGGGCAGGAGCCAGGCTTCACTCTGTTGCAGCAGCTGTGGACCTGGGTCCCTGGCCCCATAGCCCCAGCAGCTGGGGGCCCCCTCTGGCACAGCTGGGGGAGTAGAGGCTCTGGGTGGAGAGTGAGGGGCAGGAGCAGGGCTGGGGGGTTGTGGGGGGGGCGAGGTGCTGCCCCCCCCACCTCCATTCCC